CTGACCGGCGGGGTGAAGTATGGTCAAGTAAACCGGAACAACGACCCGTGCGCTGTTTGGGGAGGCCCTCATCAAACCGTTGGGGTTGGAGGAGAGTTTGAGACTGGGAGTCGTCGCTGTAGGTGCGCTGGACAATGATGACGACAACAAGGACGACGACGATCATGATTATGATGATGCTGCGGTGGCGCTGCGGTGGCGCCTCGCCGGCGATGGAGGGGAGATTCGGAGCTCCGCACGTGGCGGGGAGCCCCGGGTGTCCTCCCGTCGTGGTTAGCTTCGGACATCACCGCGACTTATCCTTCTCTCTTAAAATATTGGATTCACTGTCATTGGAAGGCCACCAAAACACCGGATTTATTTTATTTAACTATGTAAGCTACTGTTTATATTTTTACCATCTAATGCTCACTGAGCTATATAGCTCTTTTTCATAAGTGACCTGCTCTTGCAAACGACATCGCGGCTTTTCAACGTCCGCTGTGATGCAAAAGGCTCGCTTTTTTACGATTGTTACACCGGCAGTATTAAACAGGGTGTCCGCTGGATTTGAACCGTGGACCTCTGCAACGTATCACCGTCCATAGACAGCTTATAAATACAACCACTTCGTGCTAAACAGTGGCACCTGTGCATCACGGGGATAGGAGACCTTTCTGCCCGTGTTGTTGCGCGTTATTCTGCAAAGCATTGTTCTTGTTAAGACTCTACACAGACAGAAGGCCCCAACGAGCAATTGTGAACGAGCAGGAGCCAAGATAAAGATGTAGGTTTTCTGATGGTCGACAATAACTTTAAGTTGGGGGTTGTGGTCCCCGTAGGGGCCTCTGGAGGAGGGGGCTTTCTTCGGGGGGGGGGGTGGATTTTGGGGGTAGAGGCTTAGAGGGGGAGTGGTTGCGGGATCGTCTCTCTCTCGCTGGGGCCGTGGGGTTCACACTCTCGCGCCTGGAACGGAGCCCAGAATTTCTTGGCTGCAGCCACTCGGTGTGGGACGCACGTGATTTGATTCGAGTGCTCATAAAGCGGCGCACGGGACGGATTTATTCGAAATGTTACGGCCGCCTGCACTGTTTATTTATAAGCATACGTTTAGGCCAGTTTTGCTGTTGATTCATGCAGATTTATAACTCCGCCTCGCCGATTGAGTCCTGCGCGGCTCGATCCGGAGAGCAGCGCCGCTAATGATGACAAAGTGGGCCCTGGGTGTGATCTGCGGCGGCGGCGCAGGGGGGGGGGGGCGGCGTGTAAGGGCGCTCATTATGCCGGCCGGGCGCTAACAGCCCTCAGCAGGTGCGACGCGGACTTTGCGGGGAGATCAAATGGTCAGCAAATTCGGCATTAAGGCAACGGCGATTAGACGGCGAGCGACGTAATAGCACAGGCAGGCGTGCATAATCTACGGCGCTGGCCGCGTGGCCAGGTGAGCGAGTCGGAGCGTTTTGGCAGGCAGTGGTGCCCTCCTAATGCTCGGGTCTATTTGGCTCAGCGGAGTTCGTAATAAATGCTGGCAGCTGCCCGCCCTGGTTACAGCATCACAACCGTGACCCCGAGGTTACAGCATCACAACCGTGACCCCGAGGTTACAGCATCACAACCGTGACCCCGAGGTTACAGCATCACAACCGTGACCCCGAGGTTACAGCATCACAACCGTGACCCCGAGGTTACAGCATCACAACCGTGACCCCGAGGTTACAGCATCACAACCGTGACCCCGAGGTTACAGCATCACAACCGTGACCCCGAGGTTACAGCATCACAACCGTGACCCCGAGGTTACAGCATCACAACCGTGACCCCGAGCACCGCGGCCCGCGCCGCACGACCCGCCCCGTAACGCAAACCACAGCACGCAGCGCGGCAAGCGACGTCATCAACACCACGATGCGTGTCGCAAACACCGCAGAGCCACAGAATCACACGCACGGTCGGCCACATCACAAAGACAACGATCCCCCACCCATAGCCGAAGCATACTTTTAGGGGAAGTGCTATTAGCGAGCACTTACGAAGGCCAGTGTGGTACAAGAGGGGGGTGGGTGACCAGTACCACACCCGGCCACCTTTGTCTCCCCAGTGGCGATGTTTACACATTGCACCAGGCACTCATTTTAGGCCGAGTCGACCTAGGAGAGGCCCAAGACTTGTTCAGATAATCGTCACTGCTGTTGGTGGCCGTGAATGGGAAACTAACTCGGGTTCATAGTGCAGCGAGGTAACCGCTACACTCCCACACCACACACCACCACTCACACCGCCTCCCCTACCACAACTCCCACCACCACCGTCAACTACCACGACCCATACCGTGCCTCCAACTACCACCACCCACTGATCCGTACAACCAACGAACCATCACGAGCACCAACACCACCACCACCCACGCTCTGATCTGTACCACCGATCAACCACCGTTCACACCACCACCATCACTAGCACCACCCATCTCATGGCCTTCACCACCACCACCACCACGCACACTCAGATTCGGAACCACCAAACAACTACCATTCACACCACCACCACCACCACCCCATGTACCCTGCGCCCACCCCTCCCCCGTGTCCATGCGATGCTGCCGTGCACCATTAAAACCATTCTTCTGCAGCGGCGCGTTGCCTTGGAAAACCAAAATTGCCTCTCGCTGCTTCTGCTGCTTCAGCTGGGAGGCTGTTGCCTCGGCAACCGGCGCCTCCGCGGGGAGCCGCGTGCGCGTGCACTGTACGCACGCGCACGCACGCGCGTGGTGGTGGGGGGTGGTGGTGGGGGTGGTGGTGGTGGGGGGTGGTGGTGGGGGGGTGGTGGTGGGGGGGTGGTGGGGGGGGGTGGTGGTGGTGGGGGGTGGTGGGGGGGGGGTGGTGGTGGGGGGGTGGTGGTGGGGGGGTGGTGGGGGTGGTGGTGGGGGTGGTGGGGGGTAGTGGTGGGGGGTGGTGGGGGATGCGGCTCCCTCGCCACGCCCACGCGGGCAGCGCCGGCGGCTTTGTTGTGGCAAGCTCGAGGGGGGCCACGGGGGGCCACGGGGGGGGGGGGGGGGGGGCTTGGGGCACGGGGCGGGGGGGGGCTGCGAGTCCGATCGCGGGCACGGCTGCCGTGGCGGCCGCGTGAGGGCCCCCCCCCTCTCTCTGGGCGAGAGCCGGGGGCGTGAGGAGGGAATTTTCTCGTGATTTTCCGCCAATTCGGCTCGTGCTCGCGTGCGTGGGAACTCGTCCCTGTCGCTGGCGGACCGTACGGCACCGCACGTGGCACGGACTTGCGATCGCTGGCTCGTGCCGCTGTTTACGCGGCTTCATTGGACGTTGGCACGGTCCTGCAATGCATTTATCCACTTAGCACACGAGCATCTTGCATCGCTCCATCTCCATGGTGGACGTCTCCCCTGATGCGTTTCATTCTTTGGCTGCCACTCTGTCATTATTATCCCTTGTGGCCACGTGACCTTCCCAAGCCCACTCACTTTGCTTAGCAGTTTGAATGATGTCAATAACCTGCATGCGTTCCCTAATCCACGTGTTCCTCTTTCTGTCCCTCAATGCAATTCCAAGGACACCTCTCTCCACGCCTCTTAGCGCGTGTGCATTACGCCGTGCCGTGTGTATTGAAGGTGACCTTGAAGGCACCCCAAATACATTGTGAGCAACGCTGCAGTTAGTGGTGTGAAGAGGAGTGATTTTATGGGATTATCGCGCTCACAACCCGCTCCATCTCCACCCGAGGACAGCTCGCGTGCGTGGAAGAAGCGCCGAATTGTCCGGCGACCCCTCTGGAAGCGCAACTCTGTGTTCTTTCGGAAAATTTGTTTTTATGAAGTGGAAATAAATAAATAATCTCTTTTTGTCCGAACACCACCACTAACTGGCGGTGTTGAATGGAAAATAGCATTAGCCATCTCCATGTGTCTGCCAGTATGAGTCAGCATTGTCCTCGGCAGAATCGTTTTTTGGGGCACCACGGTGGCAAGCTGTTACCTACCTCACCTGGTATGCAGGAGGTCGTGGGTTCGATCCCGCCTGCTGTATATTTGGAGTCTGCATGTCTCTCTCCCTGTGGCTGCGTGGATTTTTCTCCCGGTCCTCCAGTTTTTCCCTCCAGGTCGCTTCTGAAAAAGAGCTAGAAATCTCAGTGGGCCTTTCGTGGTAAAATAAAAAATAAAAGTTTAGTTTAGAAGCAGAAGCGAACTCATGCGCCCACCACGAACACCCAGCAGAGGGACCTCCACACCCAGCCAAGGCCGAATGAGCCGCACGATTTGCATCGGTTACCGAGCTCCAGGCCCTTTGACGTGAGCGAGGTCCCAGTGGAATATCTTCCGAGTTTAAATCGTTGTTGCGAAACCTGAATTTTATGGAAATGGTGTCAGCGCCATGGGTTGAGGTCCCGCCGAGCCATTTTTCTCATGAAGTTAAATCCCCGTTCCTCGGGGGCCAATTAAATAGCCAACAACCTCGGAGATGCATGCCCCACTTAAATAATAAATACAACTTTGACATTTGAATGATTTCATTTCACTCCAGCGGCTATAATTCCAGTTGTGAATATGGAAATAAGAAAAAAAATCCACTGTGAAAATAAAAAATGTACAATCAAAGCTTGAGGCAAGCCACCTAAAACACTTAAACTTAGCGATGTAACTCAAAATGTGAGGGCCCCCCCCCCACCCCTCCGTCCACGCCGCCCGCTGTAGTGCCCCGGGCCAGGTTCCTGGTAACCTCAGCCAAGGTGGTGCGAGGCAGCCCGCTGACGATTCGATGATTTGTCACGATGCAGGGTGGAGAAGTAAATTCAAGAGCGATAGTTTTCTCTCCTGCACAAGTGTTTGCGCCGTGCTGTATAGCCCGCCGGTGTGTGTTCGTTTCTCACCGCGCGGTGTTCAGTTCTCAATGTGCGATGTTCTGTCACCAATGAACCAGTGAATTGTTCTGCCACTGTCGCTCAGCTCCCTAACGTTGCCAACCCCGTCCACATAACCAGAACCTGCTTGTTTGTATTTTTCCCTTGCGCAGGTGGGCAGAAGAGCGCGGACAGCTGGGTGGGGCTGAGCTGCTGTGCGCTGGCCATCGGCACCGACTGCCGCAAGGCCTGCCGGCAGGTACACTCACGTCTCCCCCACTCGCGTAACACCGCGCTTGTGAACTCGCGTCCATGCGCGCGTCGCGTCCATGCGCGTGTCGCGTCTACACACGTGCCTCGCGTCGACACTGCTGGCACGCTGCTCGGTGCGGCTCGGCGAGGGCGGTGAGGAAGGACGCAGCGGCTTCCAGGTGGCGCACGAGGAGGAGGGGTTCCGCTGCGCTACCCACGGCTGCAAGGAGCGGAGAGACCATTGCACCCATTTGTACGGTGGTCGTCCACGCATCCATCCAGGCTCAACCCTGATCTCGGTTTTTCCTACATCTGACAAGATCCGGCGCGTTCCAGATGATTTGGTCATAGCCGTTTTTGCATCTGTGTGCATCCCAATGAGGACTGATGAACCATACTCCGAAAGTCGGTCATCTGAACGCTGCGGGACGTCGTCTCACGTGCTTAGCATGTGCCTGCCCGTGTGTGCGTGCGCGTGTGCAATCTTGCTTCGCATGAGCGTGTCCACACGTGCTCCGATTACCTCCCGCCATACTGGCTCGAGCTGACGAGCGGCGGCACCAGCCTGCAACCCGCTGACCCGGTAAAATTCGCCGGCCGTGGACCTCAGCCTCCTAATTACATGTACCCTCGCTCTGCTCCGACGCCCGCCAAGCAGCCCCTACCCACCCTTTCACATTGGAAGACCTTTGATGTGCAGCCGCGCTTGCTGTGTTTTTTCGGGTTTGCGGGTCTGCAGCTGCGAGCCCTAGCGGCCGGTCGCAAGCGCGAGTCGGGACCACGTTTGTATCGGTCCACAGATGAAAACATTTCACTAATGGCACCGCGAGACGGGGATCGTTTACCCGGGGGAACGGGGCCAGGGGGGGGGGGGGTGACGCACCACCGCGCGCTGCCCTCGCGACGAAACGCGAGCGCTTTGAACGGCAGAAAAACACATTCCTGTAATCAGTGCACAAATGCCCATCAGTGACGCACACGTGGATTCAATGAAGGGAAAGAGCGTGGAGCCGCGCCAGGCTCTGGTTTCCTCGTCTCCAGGGTGCAGAGGCTGCGCCCCGTGGCACCGGGGATTTCCTTGACGCCAAGCCGATTTTCTACCACGTTCCTGCAGGCCCCACCCCCCCACCCTGGCCATGGATTATGAGTTTCACGGTGCGTGTGGTGCGAGCGGGTGTTTCGCTCATACCAAATCTTTGGTGAGATGAAGTTTTAGCTTTTTTTAAATTGGGGAGCAAGGATTTTCAAGAGCAGTGCAGAAACATTTGGGGGTACGTGATCGTCAACATACCGACGCTCCGGTTGCCACCTTTTCCACGGAGTGAACCCGGACACATTTCTCAGTCGGCACCAGGTCCTATTATCAACACTGTGCAGTCTCCTGAGAGGATAGTTCGACACGACACCCATCGGCAGATCTGGGTACAAATCAAATCCTGCCACTCGACACGCAGATGTCAATTCCCGGACTGTCTGGATCAAACCCGTGCCAGGTGGCAACCCCTAACGGGGGCCCACACGTATTCAGCCACGGTGTTCCCCAGCTGCAACCTGCAAGGGTGAGACGAAGAAGCGAAAGAGAGGTCAAAGAGAGGGGCGAGAACGGGAAAGGTGAGGCGCTGCACTGCGCTACGAACCCAGTGACCAGCGTTGCATTCCCGCTCACGATCGACAGCAGCGGCGAATTATTGCACCGGTCAGTGTCGGCTTAGCCTTGTACCTGGTGCAGTGTAAATATCGGTACTGCGGAGACAAAGGCGGCCGGGTCATGAAGTTGGCCACCAACCTCATCGTACTCGCTAACAGCACTTGCCCCAACAGTCTGTTAAAGGCTCTGTGGGGGATCTTTGTCTTTGCCTCAGTGTGCACACGCGGTGGGTATAGTGCATTACCCACTTGCAGAGGAATGTGCCATGAAGGCTGTGGCTATTGCTCTCCCATCCTCTTGGTCTGCTCCTCGCCTCTGCTCGGCCCCTCACTCAGATGCACCAGCCGTGCATTATTCAGCGCAAGCCTGAAAATACACGGCAGCTCTGCATCATAAGGCTTGCGGCCAAGGATTTAAAAACGATAAATTGACATTTGTAAACTCATTACGGGCGAGCGTCATCCCAAATCACCACCGCCGAGTGGTCCGCGATTGCGAATTGTCGCTCTTCGCAGCCACCGCTCGCAGACAAACGTCTCTCGTAAACTATGCGTGTTGTTATGAACACCGTAATCATGAACTATGATCAATCCGCTGCTGGATGAAGCGATACGATCCAGTTTTATTGCTCCATCTCTTCCGTTCTTTGACTGCCACTCCTTTGTTCGTCTCAGACCACCGGCCATCACCCAATGTAATCACGTGTCCCGCCCAAGCAAACTTTAATCAACATTCGGACGATGTCTCTAAATTGCTCACGTTCTCTAATCCGCGCCTTCCTCTTTCTGCCCCTTCTTCTAAGCAAGCACCTCTCCACGCTTCTCTCAACACTTTTCAGTTCTCGTTCCAATGTCCCTCTCCTTTCGTGCCGATGCCTCCGATGCCTCTGCCCCAGCAGGTGACACGCACCGATGTTTGTCATGCGCGCATCTCTTGCGCGGAGCCAGGTCGGGGGTGTCGAGGGCGCGATGGCCGCGTGCGCTCGGCGTTCCGCGTGCGGAGACTCACGCTGCGCTCTCTGTTGCAGAGCGCCTCGCGGAGTGCGGTGACCGCGGAGTGCCGCCAGGAATACGAGGTGCGCAGTGCTGCCCGCCAACCTTCACCACGCGAGACCTCGCTCACGCTCCGCACACGCACCACACACGTGCCGCACATGCGCCGCACACGCACTGCACATGCACCGCATACGCATCGCACACGCTCCGCACGCGCTCTGTACATTCTCTGTACACGCACAGCACACGCACCGCAAACGAACCCACATTGACTCCTTCCCCGGGGACACCACTTGCGGAGCTATTACCGTCTTCGTAACCTCAAGCTGCTGTGCTTCTGTTCTCCAGGCCGCGATGTTCAACTGCATCAACCGCTATGAAAGTAAGCTGCCGACTTCGTGCGCTCCCATGCTGTGATCGATGAATGAATTTACACCTCATACCCACGTTTCCTGCATGTTTGTGATTGGGATTTACCAACACTTTGGCTTCGCATGGCATCTAAATGCAAGACACAGAAAACAAGTAGTGGGAAGCGAGTCACAAAGAACAAGTAAACATAGATATGCATACTCTGTATGTGTATATAGAAATATATTTATATATATATGGAAGGAATCATTAAAAGGTAGATGAGGAGGGGAAACGATTGAGCCTGGGATTGAACAGGGGCAGGGAGTCGGCAGCCTGGATGGCCGAGGGAGGAGGTTCGAGACTACGAGGGCAATCGAGGAGACAGAGGAGAATGACTGTTGTGGGACGCAATTAGCATGAATGAGGCTATATATAAAAGGAATATTATTAGCTGTAAAAATATAATAATATTCGTTGTATATGATACTGGCAAAAAGTTCCCATTTTGTAGCTTGCTCACCCCGAGCTATAAATGCTCTGACAGTGGCATTGTCCTGGTGCTGTTCGCCTTTTGGTGGTCTCTGGTCTGACGCTGGTGAGACGAGGCCCTAAAGAAGGCTGTCTGGTGTAGGCCAATCAGCTTCAAAGAAAATGCATATATTATTAGAGCATGTTTGTTGGCATGTTCACCACAAGTACGTGTGGTTAATGCAGACTTGATTCGTTAAACAAGGTTTATAGATGATGTTTGAACATCTTAACACCTGTTTTATTTCCTGAAATGGTAAAAGCTATTCTTGTTTCATTATTAGCTGTGTTTGTGAGAGCTGAGAGTAAGCTTTTGAGTGATTGCGCGCGCGCGCGTGTGTGTGTGTGTCTTTGCCTTCGCACGCCGGCCGCCGTGCAGTGGGCTCGCTGTGCTGCGGCCACGCCGGGCGGCACACCAACTGCCGCGAGTTCTGCACGGCCGTGTTCCGCTCGGACGCGCCGCCCACCCCGGGGCAGATCCGCTCCGTCGAGAGCTACTGCGCCACCGTGAGCGTGGCCGTCGTGGACTGCGTCGACAACTACACGCGGTCCTACCCCTCGCGCAACCCCGTCGACAGTGAGTGTCGCTCGCTGGGATGCGCTCTTTGTCAGCGGCGGTTCCTCCCCTTCGCCGGTTTCCTGCGGTTCGTCGCCCGCGAGGGGGTGAGGGCGCGAGGACGGCATTGCGCTCCGCAGACTGGCCCCGCAGATGCGCGCCTTCCTGTGCCGACCTCGCGTCGGGAGTAGCGCGGCGTGCCGAGAGAACGTGGGGTCTCGTTTCTCCGGAGCTAAGAGGCTACTGGGAGAAGCTGGACCCTCGGTGAAGGGTCAACGGGCAGCACACATCATGGAAATATCCCTCACTCGTCAGGCTGTCAGTCAGTTGACACGTTTATTTTTGAGTTCACGAGTGGATAAATGCTCGGCGTTTAAGGAAGCTGGGAGGGGCAGTGGTTCAATACGCTATGGGAAGTGCTTCATCAAGGAAATCGATTTTCTTCATCTCCAGAATCCGAGACGTCCTTCCCATCCTCCCTCCTGTGCTCGCCATGTTGTGAGAGCTGTCACGCCGCTGCTACACTGCCTGACATCTCCGATAACATTCTAGCGGAGAGCTGAAGCGCCGAGGCGCTTACGCCCGAGGGCGGGCCCTGGGGAAGGTGCCGGGACTCGCCGCAGGCAGAAATCTGCCAGACTTCGCACTCCAGCGAACTTGCGCATGCACCAGCTGTCTCGCCAACGTGTCCCAAAGCGCTCGCAAGGCGCGCGAGCGTGCACGCGCGCGGTTTTGAGTAAGACGTCAGTGTTCTTCTTGGGGCGCATCTTGGCGGCGCCATCATCTGGCGATGATGACGGAGAACTCTGTCCCAAGACGAAGGCGCATTCGATAGCTACGCCGATCAGCGGCGTGGCTAGCCCAGAAGGGCCGAGGTGCCTGGCCGTGGAAATGGGGGTGGGGGGGGGAGAATTAGACGGGGGGTGACATAAATAAATTGTTTGCACCAGGGCCCACGCCAACCACGCTACTCCGCTATCACTCGTCCGTGCTGCACGCTGCCCCTCTGCCCGCGTGCGCCAGGCCTGCACTGTTGCGAGCGAGCGGGCGACGCGGCGTGCGAGGCGTCGTGCCGCAGCGTCCTGCACACCATGGCCTCGGAGCAGGAAATGGTGGAGGGCCTCATCGCCGGCTGCGGCCGCCAGCCGCTGCCGCAGGACCCGCTGTGGCAGTGCTTCCTGGAGGGCGCCCACGTGGAGCCCGGGGCCGGCGCGGGGCCCGGCGGGTCGCGCCGTGCCGGGGGCGCCGTCTCGGACGTGGGGTCGTCTCCCACGGGGCTCGACGGCGCCAAGCTGCAGTGTTGCTCGCGCGCCACTTCCCCCCTGTGCAGGTGCTCGCGCTCATCCACGCAGCCCGGAGGCAGCCTGAGACATGGGCCTGAGGTGGGGGGGGGGATGATAGAGGGCCATTTGGAATATCAACATGCATTGATGAATATAGGATTAACTCACAGTGTAAGGGTAAGAACCCGGGTACAAGAAATGAGGGTAATAAATTATCTCCAATTGAATAGGGTATGAAAGCAAATGCCATTTAAGTGCCGTTCGCCATGCGTTGATGGTGCAGTGCGGCCTGTGAGCGCTGTGGAGACAAGGGCTGGTGGATCATACACACATTTTTAGACTCTCCCTTCTCGTGGACGTCGAGGTGGAGCTGTACCATGGCTCGCCAGAAGAGGGCAGTACAGCAAATGTTCCATCTGTGTGGGATAGAGTGTTTCCCCCCTCGCACGCGTGGCGTTTCTTTGGGTGCTAGAAGTTTCCCCCGACATGCAAACACACTATAATTGGCTGAAAACACCTTTACATATAGATGATTGCAGAGCTTGTGCAATTGTTGGTGCCGGCTCACCGCGTGGCTGCCTTGCCGCTTGTCTGTGGCTCCTAGCGCCCCGTTCTCTCTCGCATCACAAGGCCTTAGATGTGTTAGATGTGACCAGCTAGTAAATAACATATCCATGGAAACGTTGTAAAATATATTAATATTTCAGTGTCACATGCAGAGCTTCACGTGCAAAAAAAATCCTCCAAAAATACTTTCCGAGACGATGGCCCTGCTATCGATCGTAGTAGCTCTGTGCAACGAGAAAGATCGAGAGAGAGCAGCGCTTCCCAACCGGGGGTACGCGGACCCCTGGTGGTTTGCGAGGCTACTGCAGGCGGTGCGCTGCCAAAAGTTGAAAAATAATGTCACGTCCTCGCCGAGGAAATGTACAAATCTGTCTGTCGCCTGATGATGCTGGTTGTAATTAATGGCGAAACGTCGAACTGGAATTATAAATGCTGTTGGTTTGCTCTCCAGCACGCCGGTGTGCTGATTTTGTAATGAATTGGCACGTTTTGTTTACGTGACAAACCTTACTAATTGGCTGTGTTGGGAGGTGGCAGGTTTAACGACACGTTTATATTTACGCAATCTAACCCGAAACATCTTTTACGGATTGTGAAATGTATAATTACAAAAACATTCATATAGTTTATAAAAGCCCACTACTCTAATTTATTCTGCAAGTATGCTTATATCGCATTATTTTTATTTTTTTTTTATGTTTGGTCTGTGGCGCCCAGTGTGTGACGTGAACACGTTACACAACAGCCTAACATAACTTTTGTGTGGCAACTCTATAAAGCTGTCTTCACACAAAAGTGTCCGACTGGCTTCTGGCTACGCGTTGGCTCTGAGTACCCAGGACTGTCCCGACAAGGCACCGAAGTACATGATGCCTTTTTGCATAAGTTTGTGAAAGTGGATTTTCAAAGTGTCGAAGTGAACCGGATGTGGAATTCTATTTAAGGCTAAAACTGTCATCGCTCCAACCTGACATCCTGCCTTTAAAGTCAGCGAAACAGCGGCAGCCATCTCATTGAGTAAGTTACTCAATATAAACACGTTCTTGCACACGGACTGCTATGCTCCGCAAATACATTTGTTGAGGTAATGAATAACAATTTCACAATTTAAGGTGTGTGCATGACACATGATTACCGCCTGCATATATATTTTTCTTTATTACATTAGGTTTCCATATTTAGCGGAGTGTAAAAAAAACAACTAGTAGTAGCGTGTCGTGAAAGGTTGGGAACCCGCTGGTTTAGAGCACAATGCGTGTGTCCACTTTGGTCCCATGCGCTTCAAGGCCAGCAGGTGGCAGCACGACTCTGATGTTGGACGTCCGAATTGAGAAGACGCGGGGAGACAATTGCGGCACATTCACCACAGTCGTCGCGCGCGTCTCCAACTCGATACCGTTCACAGGCAGACGATCGCACACCCCGGGGTCGCACCTCGAACCCATTCACATCCTGGAGCGCATCTCAAACCTCCTCCCACGGGCTGCACCTCAGCTGACACACCGGGACACGCCGGGAATTTGTATCGCCTCCGAACACCGGCAACACGGGCACCCCTCCATTCCTCCTCCTGCGGAAAGTCTCGTGCCTGGTCCTGGACGGATGCGCGAACGATAACGAGCGCGTTCACCCTCATCCTGCCCCGTGCCGTCCCTCCTCTCCCCCCGTGTGCGCCGCCCGGTCGCAGAGAGCTGTGCGTCGGGCTGTTCAGCACGAGCTGGGGCAGCGCCCAACGCTGGCAGGAGTTTGAGCGCGAGTGCGAGTACCGGGAGCAGGAGGCGCCCATGAAGGGCTGCCTGGCCGACGTGCACGAGCCGTGCCAACTCGGCTGCAAGGACCTCTCCTACTGCACCAACTTCAATAACAGGTACGGGCCCCAGGTGACACCGCGGGTGCCGATGGCCACCCGTGGTCCCGCCCGTTGTCTGGGTCACCAATCGACGCATCCACCTTGCCGCCGACTCCCTCAGTCGTGGTGTCGTTACTGTTACTACTACTGCCTAAACTTTTTTACCCTGCAAGGCCACGCTGAGCCTCAAGACTCGTTTTGAGGTGGGCCCTGACAAAAAAAATGTTGCAGTAGGGTGGCGGCGATTGTTTACTTTGTGTTTCTCAAATCCACGTTTCCCAATGAAGTAATTTTTGTTGAGGCGTTTTCGAATAATGATTCAAGTTCGGCAAATGGCTCGCTCTCCTTCCGAGCGACAACGTGGGATCTGTAACGTCCGTTGCGATTGAAAACCTCTGCAACAAGTGGCGAAGGTGTGAACGCTCGGCCCTGTCCCCAATCGCCCGTGGCATCGTTTGTCAAATTGACGTAGGAGACCTTCAGTCACGTGTCTCTCTATCACCTGGGTTAACAGCGTCGCGTTCCTATGACTCGCCAATAGCGCCAAATGACTACTGCTGCTGGTGGTGCAATCGCCCGCACCACTGAGACAAATGGCTATGAGGGAGCATGGATACTTTGTTCTTGAGCAAGTGCTCGAAGCGGGCACCTGTTGAGGCTATCATGGCACACAACACCACCTCTGTTCTCCTTTGTCTCGTCAGTGCCGATGTTTACACACCACAGCAGGTTCCTATTCAAGGCTCAGGTGACCTAGGAGGAGCCCAGGACAGGTTCAGATATCACTTGTCAGTGTTATCATCAATGACAGGATCGGAAGGCAATATGTGAACGACGATGCTCCCGCTCCTCTACGCTTACGGTTGGCACGGCACACGAGGTGGTCTAGCGCCGGCAGCGCCGCGGTCGGCTGACCCAACCGAACGAATCCGTGCTCGCACGCGGTCTCACGCTCTCTCACTTGCTCTCTCACTTACTCTCTCACGCTCTCTCACTTGCTCTCTCACTTACTCTCTCACGCTCTCTCACGCTTTCTCAAGCCCTTTTGGCTAAGATCAAGTAGAGTTCTAGATTTGAAGTTTTCGTGACTGCAAGGATCCATACTCTTTGGTTCTTTCGGTAAAGTCACGTAGGTGAAAGAATAAATATAAAAAAATGTAGTTTATTTTATTTATTATTATTATCTTTTCACCTACGTGACTTTACCGAAAGAACCAAAGAGTATCAAGTGGAGTATCTGTTCTAATCAGCTTAATATCCCTCGCTCTCTCTCTCCCTCTCACTCCCTCTCTCACACTCTCTGTCACGCGGTCTCACACTCTCTCTCACGCTCGCTCTCTCTCACTCGCTCGTGTGCCGCCAGGCCCACGGAGCTGTTCCGCAGCTGCAACGCGCAAGCGGACCAGGGCGCGCTCAACGACATGCGCCTGTGGGAGCACGGCGCAATCAGCATGCCCTTCCTGAGCATCCCCGTGCGGGATGTGCGCCGCTGCCGGCCCGAGGCGTGGAAGGCGATCGCGTGCGTGCTGCAGGTCAAGCCGTGCCACGGCGCCACGCCCAGCCCCATCATCTGCAGGTGTGCCCCCCGCCAATGCCTGGGTTGCCACCTTGTCCCACATTGCCCCCACGATCGTCTGCTCTTTCTAAGAAGCCGTGTTGGGAAATCTGTGAGTCTTCCCGGCGCACTACAGTCCAGAGTTTTATGGCAGTGGTGTTATAATAATATGACACCACTCAAGACAATGCATCGATGTGTAGTTCACCCCTCTGCTGGTGTTGTGAGATATTCCATGATATGTCCCGGGTTTTTTGTCTTCGTGCCACCCATGCACGATTACCGGCGCGTCAACAACATTACTCTCCGATTGAACCAAAACAATGAGCTCATTGGATGGGCTCTGCCTCTCTGAGGCAGTTGCGTGGGCAGATTATTCCGGCTCTAGAAACCAAACACAATTACAGGGGTGCAGCCTCTTCCTATCACAACAACAACAATCGTTGCAGCAGAGCTCCGTTCTCTGGAAAGCTTCCATCCCTGCTGCCTACATCCCCACCACCCCTCCACCTCGACCAACTTGCCCCCCCCCCCCCCCACTGCCTCCCTCCCTCCCTTCGTGAAGCCCATCCCGGTGGTCTGACAAGTTCAGCGTGGGCGCAATGGTAATGCAAGTAGCACGTGCAGGGCAGCCCCACACCGGCGGGCGCTTGCACGCATTGTGCGCACGCGCACGCTCGTGTCCCCTGCCGCCTGCCCCGCCGAGCGGCTGCCTTGAGCCGCCGGCCGATGAGCAGGCGGAGAGGGGACACGAGGAGTCCACGGGCCCGTCGCGAGAAGCGGCTCGACGAGGAGGCGCCGCGTGCGGTTTGACTCCGCGAGGCCGCCCGCGCATGAGCTGGGCTCCTCGGGGGAACGACCCCCCCCCCCGCCGCCGTCTTCTCCCCCACCCTTAACACCGCCGGCTTCATGAATACTTAACGCTTGGCATTTTCACCAATGAACAAAAAAACTCCTCATTAATAATGCACAGAGTAAATATTACAATTTTTTGTGTGTGCCTTCCTTATTCCTATTGTTCTCCGCTAACCCCCACCCCACGGCTCTGCTCACCCACAGTCACCTCCCCCCTCGTAATCCCTCGTCTGGCCATTAATAATGCACTCTGTAAAGATCCGAGCAACTGTAATTTTTTTTGTATCAGTGGGTTTTTAGTTTTCTTTATTGTTTGGTAAAATTACTGGTAATTTCAACTCTTGGCTCCCCCTGTGGGCTTCCTCATCACCCCCCCCCCCACTCTCCCTCATCACTCCCCCTCGTCGACCCCCACTCCCCCTCATCGTCCTCCGCTCTCTCTCCCCCCCCCCCCCCCCACCTGTCCCCCTCATTAACCCTCCACTCTTCCTCATCGTCCCCCGCCCTGCGTGCGGTTGCTCTCCGCGTGGGCGCAGGTCGGACTGCGTGGACATCCTGCAGCAGTGCGGGGATAGCAGCCGCTTCTCCGAGGGCCAGACGGCGGAGGGGATCTGCGAGGCGCTGTCCCCCTCCGACGACGCGGACGCGTGCATCCCGCTCTCCCGCTACCTCGGTGGGCCCCGCAACCGACTCGCCGCCTCGCGCCCCGCGGTTCGCCCCCCGGGGTGATTTTTGAGAGATCGTCGTCAGAAAAGCGTCGAGCACTTGCGGCTGCGGCGACGGCGTTTGGTACGGCCTCTGGTCGTCACCGCGTGACCCGCTATTTCTGACGCGATTGGACGTTGCCATCCCAATTACACCGTGGGAGTGGAGCAACAATCAAATAATTCCTGATTTGGGCAACTAATTTCTTATTTTCTTTACACAGTCTTTAGAATTATAACCTTTATTTACACTGGAGAAATCCGATGAGCTATTCAGCTCTTTTTCAGAAGGAAAAACGTGGAGTGGGAACGAATTTCAATCTTATCTCTCCATAAAATCATTCCACACCGAGCGCACCACTTCCAGTGTGCCGCTCGTGATGGCTGTGGCCCACCAGTTGATGTGCCTCCCGCGGTGGACCAGCCACCTGGAAATATATCCGATGAGAAATTAAGCCCCGGCCACTGACATTTCGCCGGCAGCGATTGCCCCTGAAGTTGCACTCGGTGTGTCGTGGCGTCTCAGTTTCAGTTTTTAGTTTCGTTTCTTAGGTGTAGCCCTGTGAGCCATGCGGCTCTTGACTCGGGTGCAACCGCAACAAACAAAAACATGAACAAAGAACATCTTAAAGTGACTACGCGCAACAGGCCGCGATGGGGACTTCAAACCCCACAGCTGATCCCACTGGGGTGCATACCTGGCAACCCCTTCTCAGTGCTGCCTAGCTTATTGCAGGCCAATTCAGATCTTAGTGGTCACCCTCGTGCCCTTATAAATCTCGACGTTCATCCTGCAAAGTCCCATCGCAAAGGGAGAAACACAAACAAATAGACGACACAAAAAAACCCACATTTTTTTTGTGGCCCGTATTGAAACGGCTGTACGCCGTATGGACCTGAAAACTCAATTTCCCTGCACAAGAACACGCGGCATTATACACCGCGTGGGTTGACAGCTACTGGGGGGGGGGCGGCCGTCACAGACACGGCGCGTGACGTCGCGCGCCGTCTCCCTGGCAACGTGTACCCGGAGTAATATAATTATATACCCACGTCACGAACAGGTGCGCCGCGTTAGCTGTGGGCAAACATAACGAGTGGGGGGCGGGGGGGGGGCGGGGGGGGGGCGATCTGTCAATAGATAGCAGTCGACTCATCACACCCTGTGTGTAGAGTATACACAATGCACATTGCACACACGGAGGGCACAAAAGTTGGGGGCGGCGGGGGGGGTAGCTGTCCACCACCCCCACCGCTAAGCAAAGACAAAGATCCCCTGCATAGCCTTAACAGACGATTGGGGCAAGTACTGTGAGCGAGCACCTATGAAGGTGGGTGGCCAGCACCAATCCTGGCCTCGTTTGTCTCCCCGGTGCTGATGTTTAGACGCCACACCACGTACACATTGAAGGCTGCGTCGAACTAGGGGGAGGCCTAAGACCGGTTCAAATATTCTCCACTCCTATCGGTTGTGAACGGAAAATCGACCGCGGGTCGCTGGGTTCGTAACGCAGTGCACTAACAACCGCACAACCGCTCCCCCCGCTGCACACCCACACGCACGATACACACACACACGCGTGTGACACGTAAAGCGTTCACCTATAAACACAAGACAAAGATCCCCCGTACAGCCTTAACAGACTGTAGGTGCAAGTGCAGTTAGCGAGTACCTATGAAGGCCAGAACGGCACACGAGGGGTTGAGTGGCCAGCACCACACCCAACCGCCTTTGTCTCCCGAGTGGCGATGTTTACACACCGCACCAGGTACTAATTTGAGGCCGAGTCGACCTAGGGGGAGGCTAGGGACCGGTTCAGATAATCGTCACCGATGTTGGCCGTGAGCGGAAATCGACCTCGGGTCGCCAGGTTCGTAGCGCAGGGCGCTAACCGCTACACTACCGTACAACACGCACACGCTCACACACACACACGCTCACACGCACACACGCTCACACACACACGCTCACACACACACACACACGCTCACACACACACGCTCACACGCACACACGCTCACACACACACGCTCACACACACACGCCCTTTCCTAAGATGCAAGGCCGTAGCCATGGAGTCAACATTGGGGGGGACCAAATCTCCCTTGGGGGTCCCCCCCCCGGAAAAAATTATCTGAATTTTAAAACGAATTTCCTGCCATTTCCTGCCGAAAATATAAAAAAATTCACTAACACATAGGATGGACTTTTTATTAAGTTTTTACAATAATGTCTAATAGTGTATTGAATTACATTTCTGTTACGGGATTAATAAAGTACAACCATAACCACAATCATATAAACATAAATCTATTTTATAGCAATATATTGGCGGCATTTTGAGCATATTTGAATATTGGGGGGGGGATGTGTGTCCCCCCCAAATATATATTATAATTACGGCCTTGCTAAGATATCACTCTCCTGGTTGCCCTTGTGGATGGCCGTGCGGACAGGTGTCGGGGAGGTGGTGGTGGCGCTCCCGTGCGTGTGTTTGCCTGCGACACAGTAACGCTCGCTCCGATTACCGCGCCTCTCCGCGTGAGCCTCACCTCTTTGCACAAGCGGCTCAGGCCGGGGGTGCTGGTGGGGGGGGGACAGCAAACAGTGACATCTGGCGCCCTGCGCACTCGGAGAGCCATTTGTGCGATCCTCACGCAGGGCACACGACAGCACTCACTCGGGCCCTTTGTCAATCCACCGCTGGATGAGGGAACTCTCCACACCGTACGTACGGCTCGCTTTGGGGTTGATCCGTCGCACTTCGCACTGCTCAGTGCGGGGTTGGTGAGGTTGTGGCGGCATTGACCTCTGCTGCCCACAACGGCTGCCCAGCAACAGCAGCCTATAGCACCTGTTTAGAGTATTGTGGGCAGCCCCTCCAAGCACTCGCTCAAGCTTGCCGGGCTTCCACGTTCCGGGCGGTTTGGTCATTGGCTGCCCAAATGTTTAATTAATTCGTGGAGAATTTTGCTGCCACGTTGTGCCGCAAGTGGAGGCTGTGCACATCCATAATTGTGTGTGTGGATGTGTGTGGGTCACGCGTTGCTGCCGCCGCTACGTCTGTGCGTGGGTGTGCGTGCACGCGATTGCTAATATCGGGAGGACAGCGTAAACCGCGGTGCCCGGCTCTCTCCGCGACCTCCGTGTTTGTCAGGAAATGAGAGTTGAGCCGCGCGAGAGCCGGGCCGAGGCTGATGGGTGGAGAGCGTCACGCTAGGCATGCGGCGCTTAGCGTGGTGCTCACCACCACCACCGCGATCGGGACACGAAGGGGGGGGGGAGGGTATTGCCATGAGACGGAACGCGTTCCTGGCCCCATGCGTGTCTCCGAGTCAGCCCCTGGCTGCACATTTCTGTTTATTTGAACAAAATTCTCGGATAACAAAAATATTACTTTGATGATGATCATTTCGACTTGTAGCGTGCCGCTGTCGCACACCGTTCTCGCTCGCTCTCGATCAGAGATAGAGAGAACGACTCGGAGGCGCGTGAAGGATCCACAGACGAGCGGAAGGCAGCAGCTATACGGCTGACCCGGCACCAAAGATTGCCTGAGCTCTGTGGTTCTCTATATATTAAGATGGTGTGAGCCAATTAAAGAGTATTCACACGTGGGAGGAAACCGGAGCACCCAGAGAAAACCCACGTATGTGAGGGAGCAACACTCTATCCCACACAGATGGAACAGGTGGAGTCCATATTTTTGCCGTACCGCTTTCTGGCGAACCACCTCGACGCCCATGGGAATGGAGTTTCACGACATTTGCGTGGTGATCCGCCACAAGGATGGGTTGTTGTCCTCACCCCACACCTCTGATGTGCACGGTTGGCTACGTATGGCATGAAAGAAGTTCAACATACGTACACACGGGTATTTTTCCAGAGTCCGTTTTGTTAAATTTGCTATGTTATTTCCGCTTCGAAGGAGTTGGCGGCTCAGGGACTGATGGTTCGGGGCCGCCCAGGGATGGGGACAACAATGAGCTCGGTGGCTCCGACGAGGTGGTCCATCCGTGCAACCCCAGCCCCTGCCCCGGCAATCAGCTGTGCGAGGTCAACCGGCGGGGCTGCTCCCCCGGGGTCGACTGCCTGCCCTACGTGTGTGCACCCGGTGAGCCTCGCGCTCGCATCCACAGCCCAAGATCGCACTGCTCCACCCAGCAGTGCTGCCCCCTGTCACCTGCACTGCTCCACCTGCCACTGCCTCACCCTGCAGTGCTGCCCTCTGTAGCCTTCATTGCTCCATCCTTCATTGCTCCACCCAACACTGTTCCATCCTGCACTGCTCCACTTGGGCACTGCACCATCCTACAGTGCTGCCCTCTGTCGTTTACACTGCTTCACATTCCAGTGCTGCACCCTACACTGCTCCACCCGGCACTGCTCCACCCTACACTGCTCCCACCCTACATTGCTCCACCCTGCACCGCTCCACACTGCACTGCTACACCCTGCATTGATCCACACTGCACTGCCCCACCCTGCACTATTGCACACTGCAGTGCTGCCCTCTGTAGCCTGGCTGAGCTGTAGCCTCTCTATACCACTCTACCCGATAGCAATCCAGGCTGCACTACAGCTCTTTGTATATGATGTTCTTATGTATGTAGAGGGGGTGGAGCAGTGGCACAGTGGTTAGGACGCCACGCCATGCTCCTGGAAACCTGAATTAAATTACCGGAACGAATAATATCAGTGGCAGGTGCTATCTGAACTGGTCTGGGGACGCCCTCCCCTTATTAAGTTGCACCGACCAGCGTGGTGAAGTATTAAAACGATTAACTAATTTTAATTTAACCAGGTAAAGCCCACTCAGCTATAGAGCCCTTGTTCAGAAGCGACTTGGCCACAATTGATAGCTCAACGAAGTGGCTTCTTACGTGGCAATTTATAGTAGCCAAATACCCGAAACGCATCTTTGTAAATGTGGAGGGTAAAACTGGAGAAAAATCGATACGAACATGCAAACTCCAAATGCATAGGCGTCAGGGTTTGGATAAAACCCACGATCTCCTGTATACCAGGTGAGGTAGTTAACACCTCGCCACCGTGGCACCCTTGACTGGCACAGCTGTAAATTTAAATGTAATTAAACCGATACATGTGCATTCGTTATCACTTCTACTACTATTCTTATTACTACACTTGTTTACCCAGGGGAGCCTCACTGAGTCTCAAGTGTCTTGTCAGGAGGGTCCTGCCAGGTTTCACAGTAGGGAGACAATGCTGCCGCTATTTGTACCATCACAATCGAGTCATTCGCAGGCAACATCTCAGTGTTGGGGGTGTTTGCCCGACGGCGCCAGCGAGGGTTACGTTGGCCATAGTCTGATGGCGCCATCTCCGCTGTGTGACCGCGGGCCAGGCTGCAAGCTGGGCGAGGCGTCCGACTTCCTGGTGCGTCGCGGCAGCGTGGCGCGCGTGCCCGTGGCATCGGGCGAGGCCGGCTGCTACCGGCTGTGCGAGTGCGGGGAGGGCGGGCGTCTCGAGAACTGCAAGGAGATGCCGTGCATCGACAGCCAGCGCTCCTGCATCGTGGGCGGCAAGCGCGAGGGTAACGCCGCCGGGGGGAGCGCGCGCCGTGCGGGGGTGGGGGGCGGTAGAGCGAGCTTGACGGCGATGCGAGCTGTGTTCTTCAGTTCGTCGCACTTTGACGACAGCGACGTTCAGGTGCCCGGTACTTGGGGTAGGCGGCCAAGTCCCAACTGAGGCAACCCTGCGAGCGTGGTCTTGTTTAAAGTGGGGTGGAGCACGACCCGGTCAACAAACGTTAAACAATGTTAAGCGCTTAATAACAGGATGGGCAACGTTTTGAACTTCCTTTGTCTGTGGTGCATTCTGCTCCAGCTCTCACCCCGCTGTGTATACGCACAGAGGCTACAACGCCCATTGATAATTATTGGAATACATTTTATACATTGTGTTCAGTCCCCTCAAACTATCTGTCGCGGATAATATTTCAAATGAAGCTTGCAAGTGACTGAGCACATTTTGTCATGGTGATGAGCGTTCACGGAACTAGTCGACTCCGCTGGTGTCGCGCATCTTGCCGACATTCACCTGCGGGGGCCACGCCTCGAGCAGCCGCTCCAGCAGCTGCGGCCCAGCGGCCCTGCGGCTCGAGGTGGCGCGTGCGAGCTCCTGACAGTGGCCGTTGTGTATGCCGACCCCCCCCCCCTCCACCGTAGCCCACGGCAGCCACTTCCACGTGGACTGCAACGTGTGCGCATGCTACGCGGGGCGGCTCACCTGCTCGCAGCGGCAGTGCTTTGGCGTGGCGAGCAGCGAGGAGGACCGGCGGCGCTACACGGGTGCGCACGCACAAACAGGCGCGGGACGAACGAATGCGAACGCACGAACATGCACACATGCCCGGCGATTGCCGGTGTGGCATGCCTAGAAGCGCGGCCCTGAGCCGTGCTGGCCACCACAACGTGCACACGCAGAGCTCGATGAACGTTTACTTACAAAAATTACGAACCAAAATTGAAATTATTAAATAGAATGAATGTGAAATATGGATGTCAGTCGTTGCTCAGTAGAGGGGCTCCCTACAGCTCCCTCTCGTGGAAGTCCTTCTCCAGCAGGCTTTTGATATTGATGCTAAAGAGCTACAAATGAGTAGCATATGGCATTTTAATGGCACGTTTGGCTCACAAGTGCCAGCCTAAAACAAAACCCAAAAATAGCAAAATATTTTTCACCCACCACCCCACGAACAAAGATTGATATCTCCTATATAGCATTAACGGATAACAGCAAGGGCTGTTCGTGAGCATCAATGAAAGCCAGCACGGTACACACTGGGGTGGGTGTCCAGCATCATGCCCAGCCGGCTTTGTCTTCTCCATAGTGACAATTTTACATCACACCAAATACTCATCTGAGGCTGAGTCGTCCTAGGGGTGGCCCAGGAATGGTTCAGATAATCATTACTGATGTTGACCATGGGCTGAAATGGAACTTGGGTTATTGAGTTTGTAGCATAGCACGTTAACCGCTCACTACTGCTCCCCACTAAGATGCACACAAAGAACAAGACACGTGTATGTTTGCACTTCTGTGCGATGATTAGAGTATGGGTGAGTAGGTGTGTGCGTACGTGCAATATTGGCGCAGGGGGTAGCACACTGCGTAACATGCTCTGTCATCTGTGTTTGAATCCAGGCAATGGCTAATATTAGGAGTGGCAAGTGGCGTCTGAGCTCATCCCAGGCCTCCTCTAGGTCAAATCAGCCTCAGCTAATTTCCCGGTCTCGACGTCTGAACGAGCGATCCTTGCCTGCCGTTCTGCTGGCGCGTGTGTACGTGCGTCACGCAGGCCTGCCGTGTCACTGCGTCGACCAGTTCGTCCCCGTGTGCGCGGCGACGGGCCGCACGTTCCCCAGCGCGTGCGTGGCGCGCTGCGCGGGCCTGGTCGACAGCCAGTTCGAGTACGGGACCTGCGCCTCCCGTGACCCCTGCCTGGGCAACCCCTGCGGCTCCCGACAAAGGTGCGCACTCGCGACCCCGCCGAGCCGGGGCACGCCGGCCCGTCCAGAATGGGACCCTGAAATAACTAATCGAGATAACGCGTGTGTATACGTGTATGTGTGCGTGTGTATACGTGTATGTGTGTCTGTCCCGTGAACTCCTGCCAGTTAGCCATCAACCGCTTCACATGGTCTTGAAGTGCACCTAGTCTGGAACAAGCGCTGTGGTGATGTCACCGCCACTTAGTGGCAAATGGCGGCTGTTGTTGTTGTGCGCTGGTGGCATAGTGTGCAGCACAGATGGCGCATCTGCCAATCATCTCGGTTAACCCATAACACATTGGTCTGTCCACCATAACCTCATTCATAGTCCACCTAGCTTTGCACGAGTGCTCCGGTGATGTAACCATCACTTGCTGGTGACTGGCTGTCGTTGCTCGCACCGTGCGTGCGTGCGCGCTGCTTTGCGGCATTTGGCGTTCGAGGCAGGTGCATCCCGAGGCGGCGCGTCTGCTTGACCTCCCTGGAGCCGTTTGGCTGCAAGCAGTTTGAGTGCCTGCACGGGCAGCTGGCATGCGAGGCCGCCTCATCGGAGTCGGCGTGCGACACCGCCGACCCGGAGCACCCGTTGCTGTGCTCGCTGTACGGACGCGGGAAGACGCTGCCCTACGTCGGGCCCTGCCAGGTAAGCGCCCCGTCGTTGGCTCCTCTGGAAAAACAAGGGGGCACGAACGACGGCCATTGCTGTTGCGCTGCGCTGAGGGTCGGGGGTTCGTGCAGCCGTGCCGACTTGCATTGCTTCATTGAAGGGCCGTGTGCTAATAATCCCCCCAGACGGGGGATTATTAGCACGGTTGGCTACGTACAGTGCGGAAGAAGTTCAACATACACACATACATGGTCGTTTCACAAACGACTGATGGGCCTGCACACAATGAATGGCTAGATATTCGGGATTTAGAGACATTGTCTTCAGAGTTAAAGACGGCAATAGAGGCGTTATTTTGATTGTCAAGTGGAGTACATGGGCCTGGCCGTGACGTGGGCCTGGCCGTGGCATGTCGTCAGAAAGGACGACGGCCGGCAGTCAAGACTAAGGACGGAGTGGTGGCCAAAGGGGTGAACGCTGCTGAGTCTGTGTCCACCGTGGAGGAATGAAATCGGCTCATCTGTAGGTGCCAGATGGATTGTTACATCGAACAGAGCCGTGAGGGATGGCGAACGGCTCAGGGAGGCCTTACTCGCACTGAGAACAAAGGATTTTTATTGAACCCCGAGAAGCCCGTGGGCTGGGCAGTTCATTTGAAAGCCACGCACTCATTACACGGAGGCATTGCCAGTCGCTCATCTGTTACTGTTTACACCAATTGACCTTTGCCCTCTGGGTCTGGTTGAGATCGCGGGGCGGCGGGGCACGGAGCATAAAAAAGGCACCACCTCCGGGCCGGCCCCGCTGTACCCGCTGACGACACGTGTGCCGTGTTTGCTGTTGTGTTGGTGTGTGCACAGCTGCGGCGAGCTGCGAGTGTCATACCCGACAACACACCTGTCTCTCTCCACAGCGGGGGCTCGAGTTGCCAGTTCGTCATCGCAAGGCCTTTTGAGACTCGTTAAAAACAGAGCTTTGTGATATTATCTCCCTCTGTGACACCTTCAACTTGCGTGCGTCTGTTTGTTTTGGGTGTTTGTCTTCGTATTGAAATAAATATTACGTTACGTAACGCGATAGACCTCTGGTACTACGTCCTAAATTAGCATTTGATTTGAGCCACCCTGACCTCTCCGAAATTGGCCACTTCCACGCGTCTGCGTTAGCCACCATAGTACAACGTGACATTTTCAACCGAAACAAAAGAAACATGAAGCAGACGAGGTGGGGGGGGGGGGGGGGGCATTGTCTCGTAAATATGCGCCGCCTTAAATGATGTACGCAGCTGTCGGCGAGAGAAACCGCAGTGGTGGACAGGTGTGGCCGGGTATAATTCGTTTACGGGGGGGGGGGGAGGGGGAATTGTGATTCTTTTTAGGTCCCGAGCTCAGGTGAGGGTGGACACGGAAAATCTGCCCAGCCGCCGGTGCTCTCCAGATGCACTCCGTGGTGCTAAAAGTGCCACGGCCACGCTAATCGTCGATTCCCCCCCCACCCCCCCCCCCCCCCCCCACAAGCTCAGTTTTCTTTCCTCTGCCGTTCGCTCTCCCCTACCGGCGAATTCGCTCGGCCCAGAAGGAGCACGGGATGAACCGCGGCGGCCTAAAGTGCGGCAAAACAGACACCAATTAAGCATCTGCTCCTAGGGGGGGCTAATGGAGCCCAGATCAAATAATGCGAGGGCTGCGCGCGCGTGTCTGCTGTGGGCTGGCGGTCGCACGCGCAGGGCTGGCTCGCACGCGCGCAGGGCTGGCTCGCACGCGCGCAGGGCTGGCTCGCACACAAACCCTCAATCATTCAAACCCCCACCTGCACGACGACGCAATCAGCCAGTAAATATTTTATTGACGCACAAACATCCGAGATAATTTTCAGGTCAAATGCCCTAGGATTCTACTACTTTATCCCACTTTTGGGCGCATCCGTCAGGAAAAAAAGATTTCCTTCTCTTGGGATGGGCTCCGCTGGCATTGGTTGTGCCGTGCGGTTTGGCATGGAGTAACATGTGCCTGTGTGTGATTCCGCACAAACGACGCGGCTGCTGTTTTTTTTTACTGGTTTTTTTCCCCCTACATTTTTATTCCAATTGTGCTTTAGGTATATTTCTCAGGGGCAGTGCAAGCCATAATGTTATGGATTGGCCCACGGAAGCAGATACCACAGAGCTAACCTCTGAAGTCACTTCCAGTCACTACTGGTTCATTCAAAGGCAGGCCATACTGTGCCATCCACTGCGCCACAGAGAGTAATGTCTGTAATTCTTGGAGATAATTTTTTTTTCCAAATTCGGTACAGGACCACACTTAAAGCAACGGCTGTTGTGCAGTCATTGGTGACGGCGCTGAGACAATCAACTCACCACGCTTGAGGACATCTGGTCAATTCTCGTGCGGCGGCTGCCCAGATTAAAACGCAGGATCTGAGCGCTCTGACCTCTAACCCTCCAGGCGACCGCTCGATCCTGCCGCGCTGGTTCATTATTAATAATACGAGAGCCGCTTCTTTGGCGTCCCATCGCAGCGGTTCACAGGCGCGTTCACTCTCCACAGAGGGCGTGCAGGCTGCCCGGCCAGTCGGTGTGCGGGCACGACGGGGAGACGTACGCCAGCGTGTGCGCCGCCCACTCGGCTCGCGTGGCCGTCGACTACGTGGGGCCCTGTCGAGCCGTGGGGCTCCTCCCACGGCACGGCGCCGCCACTCCCGAGTGCGACCCCGTGACCTGCCCACCGCTTCCCGTCGCCGGCTGCCAGCCCGTCACCCCGCCAGGTGGGCCGGGCCCGTCGGCACAAAGCCTGCGCGCGGTCACTCGATCGCTGGCCGTGACACCCGTCCCGATGTTTCATTAATCATGCGCGGAGGCCATTGTCAGCAACCGGCTCCTCAGCCTTCCCACTCCTCCTCCTCCTCCAGAGGGCCCGCGGTGTGTAAATTATGAATTATGAAAAGCACTGTTCAATATTGTATCCTGCCTGTAAGGTGAACACTTCAGGTAATGGAAGTCGCGCCACGAAAACAGTTTCTCTTGTTCCATGGATCTATTCCTTTGGTATGTACCTCGAGCTGTTGAACACATAATTACGGCCCTCTTTTGACAACACCGCAGCATCACTCGCATGCGTTTTAATAGATGCAGCGGTGTTGTAAGGACGCTGTGATGGGGCGAACGTCTGGGACTTTTTAAGCGCTCTCTCTCATTAACCAAGCTTGAAACTCATGTCAGCCAGCCCAGGGCACGCAGCCCGAGTGCATTAACTGATCGTCTTCTAAAACACGTGAACCGTTTGTTTTATTGAGTTGCTTTGAGACCGGTTCTGGAGAAACCACCATTGGTAAGGATCTGAGAATGCTGTCACCACACACGGGGCTCGCTCTCCGCATCGTCCCCGCCGCCCACCTGTGTGGACAAACGCGGGGCCAGGCTCACCCTCCTGACCTGTGCCCGTGCCGCCAGGTGCTTGCTGCCCGCTGTGTGCCGGCATGCTGAGGATCCTGTGGAGCATGGAGCAGCTGGACATGCTGGCAAGGGTAGGCGCTATCATCGGCACTCACGAACACCCGTCACCATCGCAGTGATCCACGTCTGCAACAAGCACAATACGTGTATTATGTAATCATCATCATCATCTACAGCCTTGATATATTAATTGCTGGATGTCCCCAAGCCATCCCATCTCTCACTGTCCCGCAATTTCACAATCCACCTGGCCAGCTGCGCAGGAGCTGACATTGTCGCTCCTTCTGTGCGAGTTTCCTCTCTTGGCTTCCGCCCTGCCGTAGCCTTGCCCACCGGCCGTGACCTATCTTGGTGACGTGTCCTGCCCGAGCCCACCTTTTTCAAGGCACCACGGTGGCGAGATATTGAATACCTCACCTAGTATACAGGAGGTTGTGGGTTGGATCCCGACCCTGACGCATGCATATTTGGAGTGTGCATGTTCTCCGCGTGGTCGCGTGGATTCTTCTCCGAGTATTTGGCTGCTATACATTTTTCACGTAATAAACCGCTTCACTGGGCTATCATTTGTGACCAGGTTGCTTCTGAAAAAGCTATATAGCTCAGTGGGCCTTTCCTGGTAAAATAAAAAAAATTGTTTAGTTAAAATAATTGAGTTCAAAACGTATGATGTAAACATGTCTGAGACGATACCTACGTTTACACTTAAAAAAAAGTTTTATCAGCGACAACATTTTTGACAGTGTATCCTTTAAAATGTTGGCAAGGCCAGAGTCAGCGAATCGCCAGGGTGGTGAGGTTTTGAGACATCTTGTCGACTTGTGAACCTGGCTCGTCGGTGGCGTCCCGCGGCTAGCGTGGAGGCCCTGGTGCAAAGAATCCAACGGAGCCCCTGTCCAGTTCCCTCCGTTCTTCGTAGCCCGGCACCTGGGCCCTTCCGGCCTGTGGGCCCCGGTGCAGTCGTACCGCCTGCACGCTCCACAGCTACCGGCCGCGACCCACGCATTTCCCTTATGCAGTCACGCGCCCGAGCGAGCGTCGTGCCAGCGGCGAGACGTGACGTCGGGACGCCATGGCATTGTCGTCCTGCGCGTGACCCGGCAGGTGTCAGGAAGGGGCGCCATCAGTCAGCAGGACGTCGTCACCTGCCCTGCGCAGCCACGTCTCGGTGCCGCAGTGCGATGCCTTTGGCTTCCTGAGCATCGAGAACGACCTCGTGCTGCTGGTGCTGCCCGTCGACCAGCAGCCCACTGCGCTGCAGGTGCGTCTGTGTGTGTCTGCGTCTGTGGGGGAGCAGTGGCACAGCAGTTAGCGCACTGTGCTCTCTAACCCGGAGGCCCGAGTTCGATTGCCAATAATGGCCGATAATGGTGGCGAATGTTTGAACCGGTCATGGTCCTTCCCTAGGTCATCTGAGCCTTAAATTAACACTCTCATCCTGTGTTCTTGGAATCTGGTGGGGTGTGTAAATATCACCACTCCGGGATTCAAAGGTGGTCGGACGTCACCTTGTCTTGTGAGGCAGTGGTTAGAACACTGGTCTACTAAGCTAGCACACAGTTTTATGCCCAGACGTGGCTAACATCAGTTGGAACATGGTGTCTAAACTTGTCTTGGGCCTTCTCTAGGTCAACTCAGTTTACATGCTATACTGCTTAACCATCAGCACTGTCAAGACAAATGTGGTTATTTTAGGTGCTTGCCACATCACCGCCCCATTGTATGCCATGGTGGCCTTAATAGGTGCTCACTAACATCACTTACCTCAATAGTCTGTGTGTGGACCTGCCTACATTTGACCACAAGTTATTTTCCAAAGCTTTAATAATTTCCAAAGTTGCCCATCACTGACCATTCATGATACTAATAATAATAATTCGATCCCTTAGTCAATCCACTGCTGGATGAGACCTCTTTTCCTAAGCACATTGGCCAGTGTAGGTTGGTGAAGGGCACTGGACTGGTTCAGATGCCACTCACCACTGCTGTTTGCCATGTTCAGGAATCAGGCTCATGTCACCGGGTTCAGAGTTTAGTGCATGAACCACTTTGCCACGACTGCCGCCCGTTCATTGCCATGGTTAAAATATGGGCACAAAAAACCCGGGAGCATAAATTATTCAGGATGTAAAGCAACGATCAACACTCGCGTTGTTATTTAAATGTATTCCATGACATGCTCGCATTCATCACATTGCTGCATAAACATGGGAATCAAATCTAGGACTGTCTGAGTACATGGAATGCATATTTGGCTGGGATTCATATTGACAATGAAGTGTGGTCCGTTCACACCTGAGATCTGATTTATCCGTCAGCGGCCTAGCTGTCAAATGTGCAGGGCAATGCAACTGCATGAGGGCCCACGGGGGCTGAGGGGCCCAGCTGCTGGGCTACGCAGAGGGTTGGGCAAAATTGGACAAGGGGGGTCGCATTTCGTTCATCTTTGTGCCACGGTACAAACCGGCGGTGGCGATGGTGGCTGCCGTGAATGAACGCCGATGGAACGCCGTGCCCATCACTCGCGCGCAGATCGAGGCGTGCAGCAAGGAGGCGGAGAAGATCGGAGCGCTCGTCAACTCGGGCAGCCCCGTGCTCGTGTCGCACACGCCGCTCTCGGCGCTCCTCGCCGCCCAGGTCCTCGTCTCCACGGGCTGCCCCTCCGCCGCTCCTCCGCGCACGCTCCCCCCGGGCCGGCCCACCCTCCTGCTGGCCGCCCTGCTGCTGGCGGCGGCGCTCCGGCTCGTCGCACCGCCGTGAGAGCGCGGGGAACCCGGGGCCGCGAAGGGAGCGACGTGGGAGCGGAGGGAGCGGTGTGGGAGCGGAGGGAGCGGGAACCGCGAAGCACTGTTACTCGGTCTCAGGGAGTTGTGCACGGTGGGGGGGAGTGGGGGAGTGGGGGGGAGTGCGGGGCCAGCGACAGCGTCGTCCTCGGGAGCGGAGTCGCGCCGTCGTCCTCGGTCGCAAGTGTCCGCCCGTGCAGGAGCGCCGTCTCACGGGGCGAGGTGTGGCCCGGTGACGCCACGCGCCGTGAGCGGGCGTCGCCTCGCGTGACCCCGAGAAGATGAACCAAATGGACGACGCGTAATCCTTCGCACTGTTCATTGCCACCGGACTCGGGGCTTCGCACAGCGTCGGAGGCTCCGCAGCCGATGTCCGGATGTGCCGCCCTCGAGGGGGAACCCCGTCGGGTCACGCGCACGGGGACGTGGCCTGTGGTGCTCTCCCCCTGACGTCATCCGCCTGGGTTGCTTTTGCCCGGCGGGGTCAGGGGTCCCCCGCGGAATCGCCGCCGGGGCGGTCACAGGCGGTCGCGGGCATTCCCATTGTTTAAAAAAACGCAACGCGGCCACGGCGTCTCTGCCGTGGGAGCGTCATCAACGCTCTGATCGAGACGGCTGTCTCGTGGATCCCTGCCACCTGTCGCGCGGCGTCGCTGTCCCCAGCCTGAGCACTCGGCGGTGGAAGGAATTGTGTGCCAAATGATTTTCCTGTTTTTCGTGTGAATGCCCGTCTCGTGTGAGTGAGGTGAGCCCGTGCGATGTGTTTATTTTAAAGGACGCTCTATTTTTGTAAGACGCACGTAATGGCCTTGGCTCTGAGGCAGCGGCGGTGGCACGCACCGTGACCCCGGCCTGGATGCATCGTGGCTTTCACATCCTCAGTGCTTTACCGTGCTGTTGTTGTTGGGTGAGAGACACGTGTAAAGGAGTATTTTTAAATACCAAACAAAAAGATAATCTAATATTTTAAGTATTTTATTTCTATATTAGACGTGTACATTACATGGTCCGTCGTGAGAAGAGAGCGAGGCTGAGACGCAAACTCTATGCACAAGGTGTAGACGCCTTCCCTTTGCTCCGCGCCACAGAATCCCGTTCGCTAACTCCACTCCTTCCCTTAACTGCCGAGTAGAGAGGGGGAGACGGGCTCCCATCCCACACTGACGGAGCCCCATCGCACGGGCCACAGAAGCTGGCATCCTTTCAGTGGCAGATCGTAGCCGGCATGGGCCCACCCCCGAAACGCGGCCTTCCCCCCTTTCCAATGTCCCACATCTTCGACTCAATAGCTACACAATGGGCGATCCGGTGGGGGGTCGCGTGTATTCCGCCCAGGATGGAAAGTCGCACCCCGTCAGGTTTGGTGGACGGAGGCGGCTGGGCAGATGCAAGGGGAAGGCGAGCACAGGGTCATGACAATTGGGAGCTGCTGGTGCGGAGCGGTGCCCGCCCGCACCGCTAGCTCCTGTGTCTGCATTGTGCAAGTGCCGTGTTCGTCCCGTGTGTGTGTGTACCTGCACGCGTGCGCGTGTGTTAGCCATCGCGTGTTCATTGTGAGGAACAATCATGCGTGTGTGTATTTATCCGCCTTTCGGCAAGGGGCGAGGTGCCTCCTGCCTCCACCCCCACTACCCCCACGGGGCTGTGGGTACGGCGTTCCGGGTCAAGGTCACCCTAACCCCTGACTGACCCATTGTGGAGTCGGGGTCACGGAGGAAAGATGCGCGACAGGAACACCGACAAGAGCAGGACGGGCGCTGGACGACACCTGTCGTAGTGTGCGTGTGCTTTGCGGGGTGTGTCTGTGTGTCAGTGTGTAGGCCTGTGTGTGTGAGAACCTTATTATGAATGTGTGTGTGTTTGTACGTGGGATGCGGTGGCCCAGTGGTTAGCGCGTTGTGCTACGAACCTGTCGACCCAAGTTCAATTCCTGCTCACGGCCTACACCAGTGACGATTATTTGAACCAGTCCTGGGCCTCCCCTAGGTTGAGCCAGCCTCAAATGAGTACCTGGTGTGGTGTGTAAACATTGCCACAAAAGCGGCCAGGCGTTGGGCTGGCCACACACCCCCTCATGTGCCGTGCCGGCCTTCATTGGTGGTCGCTAAAAGCACTTGCCCCTAAAGTCTGTCAAGGCTACACTGGGGATCTTTGTCTTTTGTAAGTGGGTCGCAGGAGTGTAGAGGTTTGCGCACTGTGCTACGAACCCGGAGATTTGAGTTCGATCCGACTCGCTGCCGACACCAGTGACGATTATGTGAACCGATAATTGGTCTCCCCTAGGTCGACTCAGACTTAAATGAGTATCTGACGCGCTGTGTAAACATCACCCGTAGGGAGACAAAGGCGGCCGGGCGTGGTGCTGGCCACCCACCCCCTCGTGAGCCATGTCGGTCTGCATAGGTGCTCGCTAACAGCACTTGCCCCAACAGTCTGTTAAGGCTACATATGCCTGTGTGTGCGTGTGTGCGTGGGAGTTAGTGTTTTGCGTGTGTGCATGGGTCTGCGTGTGTGTGCGCGTGAGTCTGCGTGTGTGTGCGTGAGTCCACACGTACACGCGCGTCCAGGCTGCGCAGTTCTAGCAGAGAGGGACCAGACCCGGAACGCGTCTCGAGGCGCCTCGCCCTGCCCCTCGTCGTCAGTATTAAACTGTCAGGGAGTCCCAATGGTTATTCCGACAACCTACCACGTTGTGTATCACGTTGTGTATCGTATATATATATATTTTCTATCCGAGTTCTATTTAAAACAAAAAAGTGTTACTTTACATTTCCCGGTCTCGTCTCGCCGCAGCGATGCTGATTAGGCCTGGGTACGCTTTGATGATGATGATAATAATCTCCTGTAATTGGATTTCACATTTGCACAATAAAATGTACACACATTTATCTTTCTCTTCTGCCTCCATTGGCAATCGCCCTTTTCTCGCGGCCTCGTCCCCGACGTCGCGAATACAGTCGCGACTCTGCCGTGCGTGCACGATCGGCGACTGTGCTCACGAGTTTTTTGTTCGCGATTAATGACGATTACGGTGATGGTGATGATCCGCCGTTAAGTCTCCGAATCAACGCAGAGCAAGCACGGATCGCGCCGTCCGGCTGATGTTGCCCATCACGGGATGATGGCGTATTGCGCCGTGAATGCGTGGTCTGTCACTGGGAGGGTGGCTGCTCTTTCACTGCGGTGGAGGAAGGCTGGAACGCTGTGGTTCTGTTGCGGCTGTTACGCAGCTCGCGAACGTGAAATTGGCATCAACCTGGCCCGGGCAGTCGCACCACGGGGCCAAATTCCAGCTCTCTTGATGAATCGACACACGGATCACATGTTTCTGTATCGTTTGTATAAGTGTTGTATTAGTCGCCAAATACACGTAAACAAAGAACCCGTATTACATGAACACAATTATATATTAACATTGACTGGTTTATGAAATTACATTTTGTGCATTGCAACCTTCGTTCAAGCGAAGTAAAAAAATAAAACCTTGGCCGGTTTTGACAACGAGCCTCATCAGCGGGGTGTAGCCAGCCCAGTGGCGGTCCGTGGCTCTCATCCACCAGATGCCGAGTGCAGGGCTCGGCAACCGGCGGCTCCAGCGCCGCATGCGGCTCTTGAAGAACTGCAGTGCGGCTCTTTAAATTTGAAAAAAAAAAGATTATCCTTGTTATTGTTTGCCGACCCCTGACCATGTAAGTCCAGCTCACCATGGGAGTCCAGTTTACCATGGGAGTCCAGTTTACCATGAGAGTTCAGTTTACCATGAGAGTCCAGTTTACCATGGGAGTCCAGTTCACCATGGGAGTCCAGTTTACCATGGGAGTCCAGTTCACCATGGGAGTCCAGTTTACCATGGGAGTCCAGTTTACCATGGGAGTCCAGTTCACCATGGGAGTCCAGTTCACCATGGGAGTCCAGTTTATCATGGGAGTCCAGTTCACCATTGGAGTCCAGTTTACCATGGGAGTCCAGTTCACCATGGGAGTCCAGTTTACCGTGGGAGTCCAGTTCACCGTGGGAGTCCAGTTTACCGTGGGAGTCCAGTTTACCGTGGGAGGCCAGTTCACCGTGGGAGTTCAGTTTACCGTGGGAGTCCAGTTTACCGTGGGAGTTCAGTTTACCGTGGGAGTTCAGTTTACCGTGGGAGTCCAGTTTACCATAGGCAGGGTTCGGCAACCTGCTGCTCCGAATGCGCATGTAGCTCATTAAGGACTGCTTTGTCACTTAATTTAATAAGGACCGTCTCCTTTTCACGTTGCATTGTGGCTTTTGAAATATTGAGTTTTTTTTTTTACCGAATTGGGAAAAAAATGTCTCGTTGTTTTGATTGCCGATCCCTGAACTGGTGGATATTTGCAGCACAACGGGCAACTTGGAATGTGCATGTCGGCGGTGCCGGGCTCCCACCCGGGACCAGTTGCCCTGGGAAGCTGCGTGGGCTGCGATCGCCCGTCTCTACTGGGGAAAGTGCTGGTGATGAAGCCACTGCCAGCGTGTTCCAGTTTCTCGATGCGAATCTATGGGTCTCTGTGTGAATGTATGGGTTTCTATGTGAAGTCTGTGGATTGTTGTGTAAGTCTATGGGGCCTCTGGGTGACAAACCAGTGCCAGCACATTACATTTCATCAATGATTCCCACCCTGCACGCGTTATCCCTTGACACTGGAACACCTGATTAGCACGGTTGGCTACGTACGGTGCGAAAGAAGTCCAACATACATAGAAAATAACACGGAGGCGGATCGTGTTACCTCCTCAACATGGAGCCGCAGACCGCTCGTGGGTCTGCCAAACAACTCCTGCTGGGCTGCCTGATCATGTGGGATGGAGCTCCGTGCGTGTCCTCTGCAGGGCGGTTCAGCGCAGCTCATTGACGCGCAGCCTGGTGCGTACCCCTCTTACCGTAGCTCGGTGTGAAGTCCCCGTGGTCCGTAATGACAAGCGGCGCTCTATTTACTATTTACTCATGGAAGCCTCACTGGAGCCCGACGACTGACTTCATAAAGATTCTGAATTGCCAAATACATTAGTGAGCGGCTTGTGGGAGCAGGAGCACCCGGAGAAAACCCAGGACGCATAGGAGGCTCAGGAGTTTGGGGTGG